ATTATTGGAAAAGAAATTTTTTTTTTGGCCAACCAGAACTAAAGACTTATTTTTATGTTTAAAGAATTGTTAGAAAAGAAAATTTCACTCATAAAAAAATTTATAAACAAAAAGAAAAGTAGGAAAAGAAAAAACATTGTTGTTCATCATAGTAGGAATACTGAGAAAACAACCGAAGAGAGAAAAGAAACTATAGTAACTAGAATATCATAACTTGATTAAAAAATTACCTTGTAAATTATTATTAACAAGATATAGATGTTGAAGCAAATCCAATTTTCCAATACCTTCTGGTATGTCACCTACAAAAAAAATTTGAACTATTAAAGATGTAGAATTCAAATAAGTCGCGGATATATCTATTGAGAATATTTCACACATGTGATAATGACATAAGCAAGATGGCTTAATCCTACAAGTGTCCATATATGATGAATCATTTTTACCAAACCTAACTTGTAGACCCTTATTTCCAGTCCCTGCCCATGTTTGTGTATATATATATATATATATGATGATATAGCATCTAAATGAACTTCTCTTTTCGTCTTTTGTGTTTTACATCAAAGATTATGTTTCATATAAATGCCAATACAACTGCCACAGTAATCAATCTATATAGTCCACCAACCAACAACAGTAATTATAAGATCCAAAGCTGTTGGTTCCTATTTTGCATTAATTAAGCGAAAAACAAAATTTACACTTTAGGCATGTCCTTACCATCGTCCCCTAAAAGAACAATAATTAATGGATTACTTTTAGAATTCACACACATAATATGCATATTTTGAACAGACAAGTAAATAGATAAGACATAAGTTGGTTTTTGACTCTAAAATGGACAAGTCTTTGAACAATTACCAAAATGCCATATATTAAGAAGGTAAGATATTGGAAGAATTACAATGAAGTCCCAAATAAGGATACAATTTGTCAAAACCCTAACAACACATGCAAACTATAAGCAACATATTGAGCAGTAATTGTTTGAACAATTTTAAATCCATAAAGGCAAATCCATTTTGGCCAGCATATCCATTTTCCTTGCTCTAAATGGAGCATCATCTGTTCCAAACAAATAAAATGCTTTACAAGACATCATAACCAGCATTTCTAAATTTATTGGACAAGAAATTTTTTTGGCCAACCAGAACTAAAGACTTTTTTATGTTTAAAATATTGTTAGAAAAGGAAATTTCACTCATACACAAATTTATAAACAAAAGGAAAAGTATGAAACGAAAATGCATTGTTGTTCGTCATAGTAGTAATACTGAGAAAACAACAAGAGTGAGAAAAAAAAACTATAGTAACCAGAATATCATAACTTGATGAAAAAATTACCTTGTAAATTATTATGATCAAGATATAGCTGTTGAAGCATATCCAATTTTCCAATACCTTTTGGTATATCACCTACAAAAAAAATGCACGCTTAAAGATATAGAATTCAAATTGGTCATGAATATATCTACTGAGAATATTTCCCACATATGTGATAAGGACATAAGCAAGATGGCTTAATCCTACAAGTGTCCATATACGATGAATCATTTTTACCAAATCTAACTTGTTGACCCTTATTTCCAGTCCCGGCCCCTGTGTGTGTGTGTGTGTGTGTGAAATGGCACACTGAATGAACTTCTCATTTCCTCTTTTATATTTTACATCAAAGATTGTGTTTCATATAAATGCCAGTACATACTGCCAACCAAAGCTGCTGGTTGGCAGTACCGCCCACCAACCAACAACAGCAATTATAAGATCCAAAGCTGCTGGTTGCTCTTTTGCATTAATTAAGCAAAAACAAAATTTACAATTTAGACATGTCCTTACCATCGTCACCTAAAGTACAATAATTAATCAGTTACTTTTAGATAATCATTTAAATGTAAAACCAAAATTTCACACACATAATATGCATACTTTGAACTAATTAATGGGTTACTTTTAGATAATCATTTAAATGTAAAACTTAAATTTCACACACATAATATGCATACTTTGAACTTACAAGTAAACAAATGAGACAAAGGTTAGGTTCAAATAAAATTATATCATAACAATATTTGGTCAGTGCAGTATTGGCAAAAAGCAATTAGAGACTGTTAAACCAAAAGAATTATACTAGCACAATGATATCATATTTATAATTTTCAAAGGTAATTGATATTGTAAATAATAACAAATTTCATAGTCAATATATATATATATATGTCACTTACATTTTTAAATTTTGATTATTGGATTTTGGAATATATAGATCCTTCATTGTCAACTAAAATAGACATTGAAATTCACATATTCAATTTTCTGGTGAAATTTCAAATTCAATTTTAGATAAAAATAATTTTCTAGAAGATATTATTCATTGAACAAACTAAAACTAGTACGGGCTAAGTAGTACAAACACATACTTATTTTTATGTCTTTAAATCAGTGACAAGAAATTTAAAAACAATGAAAGATGTTTGATGGAGAATAAAGATAGATAAATGACTTTGGCTGAAAAAAAAAGAAATAAAAAAGATGTTTTTTTATGCATTAACTTCACTTGAAGATATTAAAAAAATAGTAAAGGATTAAAAGAAAAAAGTTTAGCATATTAAGGAATAAAAAAGTATATAATGTCTTGCAGACCGTTTTATAATTCATCATTCTCTTAAAAAAATAAAAGGGGAAAAAGAAAAGGCCTCTGTTTAAAATGACATTTTTTTTACAATGATGTGATTTTAATTAAATGTTTTATTCAGTATGCCAAATGGATGGAACATGAGTCTCCCCTGGATCCAGGAAAAATTAACAAATTTAGCATCTAATACGTTGTTTTCAATTTTGGAGTTCATTATTGACTAAAATCAGACATCCAAACTCATCTTACATGTGCCCCAATTAAATTCACAAAACTAAAAATCCCTTCCGTAAATTGCACGGAAAAAAATTTAAAATTTTTCAAACTAACAAAACATGCAGTTGAATACAGATTAAACATCTCAAATTATAACACAATTCATATCAAAAGTAAACACATCATATTGCTAGAAAGGAAGTTATAATAAAAGTTCTAGGACTCACACAAAGTTATAATAAAAGACTTTAATATGATATTAAGATTTAGTTCTAGGACTCACAAAGTATTTACTTTTCAAGGAAAGTGTCTAGAGAAATAAGGAAGGAGTTAATTGATGCATGCGGTTTTCAGTGTAAGGAGGAACTTGGAAGGTATTTAGGGGCTTTTATCACTAATGCAAGAGCTTCTCGTAATAAGTTACAATTTTTGATCAACAAGGTTCAAAGCAAGCTCAACGGATGGAAGACGCAAACTTTAAGTTTCGCTGGAAGGCTCACTCTTTCAAGCAGTTTCTTCTCAAATGGCTAGCTTTGCAGTGCAACATAGTCATATACCTATTGGTGTTTGTGGTGAATTGGAGCAATATCAGAGAGAGTTTATCCGGGGTTCTACGGAGGATAGGAGGAGATTGCATGCTGTAAGTTGGGAGAGTCTAGTAAGCCTAAGGAGGTTGGGGGGTATGGGCTGAGAATTATGAAGATAATGAATACTGCTCTTATCACATGAATTGGATGGAATATGATTGTTAAACCTGACAATTTATGCTTGAGAGTGTTGATAGCTAAGTATGCACGCTCTGCTGATTTACTTAAGAAAAGTGAAATTAAGAATTCGGATTATAGTTTGTGGAAATTTATCGCATCTATGTGGCCTCAAATTTTGAACTTGATTGCGTGGGATTGTAGATGGGAGTACAATTAGGTTTTGGACTGATGTTTGGCTTGATGGGGATAGGAACTTGTATGATTTATGTCATATGAAACTTGATGGTAGACTTTTAAACTGTAAAATTATGGATATGGTTGATGAATATGGGGAATGGGAGTTCATGTTTCTGAAAGATTATTTGGGGGAGGGTGAAATTATGAAATTAAGGGCTACTGTTAGGCCGAAGGTTGATTTTGGAAGGGATAGAATTAAGTGGAAGGGTGCTGTCACTAATCATTTTGTGACTGCTGATATGTACTAGGCAATGGCTGATATAAAGATGGATGCTATAGACAAGACCTGAAAGAAGATATGGGATTGGAAAGGCCTAAGAAGGATTCATGTTTTCTTGTGGTTAGCTTAACGAGATAGGTTACTTAGTTCCACTAGGAGAGTGAGAATGATGGGAAGCTCTTCTATTTGCTGTAGATGTGGTGCTTTTGATGAAGACTTATTGCATGCTATTCGTGATTGTCATGTAGCCAACAGAATCTAAACTGATCATAATTGTGTTGAGGTGGATCAAAACTTTTTTCAATTGAATTTGAAAGAGTGGTTGTGAGTTAATTTATGTAGGAATGTGGAGCGGAGTAGATGTTTTGCTGTTGTTTGCTACTGGCAGCGGCAATGGAGAAATAAAATGATGTTTGAAGATGGATTTAATCTTGTGTAAAATCCATATAGAGTGATTAATCATTACTTATGGAAATTGAAGAATTTAATAAGTAACAGTAATCCTTTGAAGGGTAAGCATGTGGTTATTGATGTTAGGTGGAATTCTTCTAAGGATGGGTGGTATATAAATTGAATTTTCATGGAGCTGCTAAAGGGAATTCATCTCTGGCTGGGTGTGCAGTTTGTTGAGAGATGTGAAGGGTTGCTGGATTAGTAGGTTTGCAAAAAAGCCTGGTCATTGCTCTGCTATTTCTGCAGAGCTCTAGGGTGTCTTGTAGGGTGTGCGTACGGCGGGGGATATTGGGGTGGATAATCTGATCATAGAAGGAGATTCTAAAGCAGTGATTGCAAAGTTAAATGAAGCACATCTTTCTGGTACGATGAGTAGAAGGCTGCTGATGGATTTAATTTTGCATCAATCTTTGCATTTTAGACAGGTTAGATATATACATGTATATAGGGAGGGTAACAAATGTGCTGAGTTATTGATTAGCCAATTTTTGTTTTACTCTTAATTTTGATGTTCATAGGCTGGAATCGCCTCCTAGGGATTTACAGGATTTGCTGTACAGTGATACTGTGGGTATTTCTTACCAAGGAAAGTTTTGATGAATGAATAAATGGGCTCAGCCCTATAGCATACTGGGGGAAAAAAACATGTGATATTACAAGAAAAGAACTTCACCAAGATATAGCATTTCAAACCATCCTCCTAGAGAAGAATTTAATTTAAATGAAAATATTAAAGAATTTCTATTTTTTATATGGTCTTACCAATAAACATTCATTAAAATATATTTGCAATTAAGTTAAAGTGATGATTTGATATAGTGGGGTAGCACATACCTGTAAAAAAATTGTATTCTAAATTTAAATATTTGAGCTCTTTGCATTGTATCCAATTAGATGGCAAGGATCCAGAAAATTCATTCTTTTGAAGACCTAGAGCTTGTAATTTTGGAAGTCCTTGACATATATCAGAGGGAATACTTCCAGACAAATTATTCCAGCTTAAATCAATCTCTTGCAACTCTGATATATTGAAAATATTTGATGATATCTGTCCAGAAAGTTTATTAGTATCCAAATAGAGAATTTTCAGATTTTGAAGATGGCCAATCTCTGTTGGAATATCTCCTACAAGTTGATAATGAGAAAAGAAAATAAAACTCAATGAGAAAGAGAATTAAAGAGGATGTCATATAAAATAATAGTCATTGTTGTATAAATACAAACTTTAAACATAACTATAAAGGAAATTTCATAATTAATGTATATGCAAGAGATTGTCAAAGAACATACATTTTATTTAAAAATACTTAATTATCACAAATGTTAAATATATCATGATTTCACAATGTAATAATTAATTTGTATAGTTACCAAATCTTTTTGTCATGATGCATAATGAACCATGTGAAAAGAAAAAAGAATGTTTTTTTTTTCATTTCTGCTGATACAGTTCATATAGATTGAAAAAAAGAACTAAAGAACTAATCGTAAACCAAATGAATTTATATAGAAATAAATTTTTACGCAACACTCCAAGTCACCAATATACAATGATAACATTTAATTAAATTCGGTAAAACAATAGAGATTATATATATTTCTATTTTTCTAAAATCTCGTGTAAAGTCTAAAGAGAACAAATGATATGGCGGCAAATCCAGTTTTCTCACTTTAAATGGAGCTTCGTCTGCTCCAAACAAACAAAATGCTCCTAACCTGCATTTCTAAAATTATTGGAAAAGAATTTTTTTTTTGGCCAACCAGAACGAAAGAATTATTTATATGTTTAAAGTATTGTTAGGAAAGAAAATTTCACTCATAAACAAATTTATAAACAAAAGGAAAAGTAGGAAAAGAAAATGCATTATTGTTCATCATAGTAGTATTGAGAAAAGAAGTTATACTAAAAGTATATCATGATTTCGTAATGTAATAATTAATTTGTAGAATTATCAGAATTGTTTGTCATGATGCATAATAAACCATGTAAAAAGAAAAATATGTTTTTTCCACTTGTGCTGAACCGTTTCAATACATTTTATATAGAAATAAAGTTTTACACAATCGTCCAAGTCACCAATATACAATTACAGCATTTAATTAAATTTGGTGAAACAATAGAGAAAGAAGTTCTATATTTTTCTATTTTTTAAACTCTCGTTTACAATTTAAAGGGAACAAGTGAGATGAAGACTTCATATTATAATATCGATGTGGATATTAATATTGTCATTCAGTAAATACATTTCAACTGCAATACATTAATTAGCTATATTTAGACTATAAAGGCAAATCCATTTTCCTTGTTCCAAATGGAGCTTCATCTCTTTCCAAACGAACAAAATACTCCACAAGACATCCTAACAGCATTTCTAAAATTATTGGAAAAGAATTGTTTTTTTTTTTTGGCCAACCAGAACTAAAGATTTATTTTTATGTTTAAAGAATTCTTAGAAAAGAAAATTTCACTCAAACACAAATTTATAAACAGAAGGAAAACTAGGAAAAGAAAATGCCTTGTTGTTCATCATAGTAGTACTGAGAAAAAAACTAAAGAGAGAGAGACAAAAAACTATAGTAGCCCGAATATCATAATTTGATGAAAAAATTACCTTGTAAATTATTATGATCAAGACCTAGCACTTGAAGCATATCCAATTTTCCAATACCTTCTGGTATATAACCTACAAAAAAAAAAAAAACGCTTAAAGATATAGAATTCAAATTGTTCTCAGATATATTCATTGGGAATATTTCCCACATGTATGATAAATACATAAGAAAGATGGCTTAATCCTGCAAGTGTCCATAAATGATGAATCATTTTTATCAAATCTAACTTATAGACCCTTATTTCTAGTCGTCGGCCCATGTGTGTGTGTATATATATATATGATGATGATATAGCTGCTGAATGAACTTCTCTTTTCCTCATTTGTATTTTACATCAAAGATTATGTTTCGTATAAATGCCCATACATACTGCCACATAAATCAATCTGCTCTACCCACGAACCAACAAAAACAATTGTAAGATCCAAAGCTGCTGGTTCCTCTTATGCATTAATTAAGGAAAAACAAAATTTACACATTAGACATGTCCTTACCATCATCACTTAAAAGAACAATAATTATTGGTTACTTTTAGATAATCATTTAAATGTAAAACCATAATTTAATGCACATAATATGCATACTTTGAACCTGCAAGCAAGCAAACAAATGTGACAATCGTTGGGTTTAAACTCTAAAATGGCGGCTTGTACAAGTCTGTGAACAATTAACAAAAATGCCATACATTAAGAAAGTAAGATATTGAAAGAATTACAACAAAGTCCGAAATAAGGATAACCTTGACAACACATGCAAATTATAAGCAACATATTGAGTAGTAATTGTTTGAACAATTTTCATGGTTTTAACGTAAGTACAAAAGGAATTCTATGAATCATTTAAAGTAACAAATTGTCTAGCAGCTAAAAGAGGATTACAAAGTATATTGGATTATTTTATGTTACTCAAATTTAAAAATTTTATTATCATCAAGGCTAAAGTATGCATTTAATCATTTAACTTACACAACGTTTTATTTTAATTCCTTAGCTTTATAAGGTGTCTTTTTAGTCCTTTAGTCTTAATATTATTAGTTTTAGCCTAACAAACTTTACATTAAACTTTCAAATATTGATCAAAAATTCTCAAATGTTGACATATTAAGTTTAATTTTTAAATAATAATAATTGACACAAAAAATAACCATTTGAAGCTAATAATGTTAGTGTTAAAGGACTAAAAAGTTACTTTACAAAATTAAAGGATCAAATTAAAACCTTATATAAAGATAGAGGACTAAAAGTATAGATTAGTCTATCATCAACATATCATTGAAAAATAACAGTTACATAATTATCAATCATTAATGTTCTTAGGGAAATTAATTTGACAGAAGTACACTTTTGCAAAGCTGTTGTCATCAATGCACAAAACGCACTAACTTTAATAACTTGAATGCCCCACATAGAAGGGCACGGAGTTGGAAAGGCAAATCTTCAAACATTCAATAACACAAAAAATTGTGTTGTGGATATATGCAACATACTTACCCACAAAAAAAATTTGTTTCTTCTTTTATTTTTTAAATAGCTAAATAGATTTCACAGCCAAAATTTTATCATATAAAGTTTATAAATTTTTCATTTCAAAATGTTTGAGGACACATTTGATTGAAGAAATACATCAAATCCAGATGATATTTGGGAGGAATATATATATATATATATATATATTTAATAATTAATCACCAATATGAAATATCTTCTTAATCATGTTGCTCCTGTTCTATACTACATGCAATTGAGGAACGCACCGCGTGCGTCACCAATAAAAAGCCACAAAAATAACACAAAATTGATAAAAAAAAAGTTACACATTATGATTAGTTGAAAGTATACCTTCTAAGTTGTTTTTACCAATATCTCTTGGTATTTGACTAGACAACTTGTCAGCACTTGGGTATATAATTTTCAGGTTTGTGAGAGCACCAACTGTTTTATGGATATCTCATGCAATATGATAATGAGAAAACCAGAATATTATGAGTGCTCATATATGAAATGATTATGATAAAAGGGAAGAATAAGTAATAAATATAAGTTTAAGAATGCATTCTTTTGACTTAAGTAACAAGTATAAAATGATTATGATGCCCTTCTTAATTAATAAAAAGTATTTTAGAATTTTTGATGAACTATTTTCTACATAGTTAAAAATTAAATTAAGGTTTTATATTTTAAAAGTATAGGGTGGTTTCAGTAATATTAATAAATTTAAAGATAAATGGATATATTTTACACTAAAAATGAGTCATAAATAATATGAAAAATTTCTAACAATATATATCGTAACTCACAAAACATTTTCAATAAAAACTTACATATATAAACAAATTTAAAATTACTGAAAATAATTATCATATGAAAAATGGGTGAAAATAGTATATATATATAATATATATAAACAAATTTAAAATTACCAACAATAATTATAATATGAAGTACGTGCTTTGAAAAGTTAATGTGTTGTTAATATGTTTTATTTTTATATATTTATATTTATAAGCTTTATATTATTAGACGCTATCAATTATCTAATAACATTCCTCTCAAATCCTAAAATTAGTAAATTACTTTTAAAAATATTGATAATACAAATTCAAAATGAAAAATTTAAATACTATAGCTTATGTATATATCTATATATATTTAGCAATTTTTTTTTTCATGCCATTCACAAAATTCTTGCGTGTGAAGAGCTGTCAGTTGATAGATTGATTACACTTATAGGGTAATACAAAATCTCAGATCAATCAAAATGATAGCAAGTTTAACCCAAGGCGCGCACACAAAAAAAAAAAAAAACTTAACAGCCCTTGATGAATGTTTAATTAATTATACGCATCATATATTTGATTTATTTCAGTGACGGGCACTTATATGATATAGCTTAAACTTGTTGTTTGGATATTTTATAGAAAAGATTGTAGGGTAAAAGAGTAAATTAGCTCTGAAATTATACGTTCAAGAGCATCTAGGATCCTAAAACTCATTAAATGTGCAACATTTTCTTTCAACTTTTAAAAATAGTGTAACATAACTCCTATTACTAACAAGAGTTAACTGTAACTATTGGTTGAAGGACCTCAAAAATCACAATAAAAAAGTTAAAAAATTTATCGGTCTTTTTCAGTAATTTTTAGGTCATTTTTTGCAATTTATTTGCCTCTTTTTTTGTTGGTTCATATAAAGCCCAATATATGCCATGCTGCTAGTCTAATCATATAATGCCCAAAAAGCAGAAGTTGGTTCCATGCCCGCTTATTCCATTTAATTGAATTATAATGATGTCTATAGCCAATAAGAAAAAACACATAATTCACTTAAGAATTTAATTACACTTGATACCTGTCCTTATCGTCATCACTTGAGACATGTTTCCTCATATTTCCCTGACTTTTATATAACTTTTTTATTTAATTCTTTAGTGGACCTTCCCTTTGCTCCTATTTCCTATTTGCTATATATCTGGAATAATGAGCAGAATTGATTGATTGATAAGTAACAAAATTGGACAAACCAACGTTAAATAAGATGTTGGATTTCTGAAAATGTGACATACTTTAAAATAGTTGATCCATCCAAATTTTACTTCCGGTGCACATATTAACATCACATATTCTTTGAATTTTTTTCTCTTGAAAAATAATGAACGAAATGAAAACAATAAAAAAGAGTAAATAGTTTGGATATATGAAAATGTGATATACTTTAAAATATTTGACCAAAAATTAAAATATAAAATGTGATATACTTTAAACAATTTAATCTAAATATATTATGTCATTGAGATCATGGGGCTATAGTAAGTAGAGCCTTGTTTTACAAAAAGGGTAAGACTACAAACGTGATGATAGAATTGTCAACCAAATTTAATAGTTATAAACTAAATTTTTGTATAATTGTGTGTGTGTGTACCAATAAAACAAAATAAAAATTACAATACTATGAGTGTTGATATATATGCTTAAAAGTTACATCTCAATTATGAATGTTAGATTTGATGATGGGCTTATGCCTCTGCTATCTAATGTACAATGTTAATTTTGTTTGTATTTGAGGAGATATTAGAGTGAGGAAGTTAACAAAGAGAGACATGTGCAACATTCACAAGCCAACATTTAGTTAACACTATTTTTATTTAATTTTTAAATTAGAAAATTTTCATTTAAATCCCAATAAATTTTTATAAAATGAAAAATGAAAAATTACTGAGACACTCATATTTTTTAAATAAAATAATATTTCTTTATTAAAATTGGATTTTAATAAATATACTTGATTTTTAATTTCATTAAAATCCTTTGAAATTTAATGAAATTTTCCTTACAAGAGACCTGATTGAAATTCTCCCCTTTTATATTTGAAAGCTTTGAACCAGGTTGAATTCTCACTAAAATTATAAAAGATCACAAATTATATATATATTTATATATAATCCAACTTTTGTTCTCTGAAAGCATGTTTAATCTATACTTATATATTTTGGGATATATAACTAATAGTATTTTGATGAAACCTATTATCATCTAAGTTTATAATTTCAAGTTGCAAAAGACAAAAGAAGTAACGGGGAAAATTGAATGTAGCGAATTATAATTTGCATTAAAACTATACCTTGTAAATTATGGGAACCAAGATCCAATTCCTGAAGCGAAATAGAGCTTCCAATGTTTCTTGGTATGTAACCAAAGAGATTATTAGCATCCAAGTGAATAGCTTTAAGATTTCTGAGATTGGCAATTTCATTGGGAATATCTCCTGCATTATCAAAATAACAAAAATAAAAACACTGATATAGTGCTTTTGTATAGATTATAGAAAATAATAAAAATAGAATACAACATTTTGTAGATGACTGTGGTATATATAGTGTATAGAAAATCATATAAATTTAAAAACATTTTAAAAAATATCTCTTGCATTATGGCTCAAAGGACCCCAATGAAAAGGACAAAAACTAATAAAAGCATGCAAAATAGTTGTTCCTAACGGTGAAAAGAAAACTAAATGATGTTAATACACTATGTTATGTTGAAAGCATGGTGGTAAAGTTTCCAATATCACAACAAATTAAAATATAATTTGTAGATTCATTATCGCCCCCCACTCAACATAATCAATATATATTTAACCTCCCCTTTCCAAAAAAATCAATAATGTTGAATAAGAAATTGTAAATAGATTATCCTAAGACACACTAACACCTACAAAATTATATTGTTTGAAATGATTTGTAGAGAATATGAATTTGGCTAATATTATGAAAGACATACATGTTAAAGAGTTGTGTGATAAAGACATCCACTCAAATGAAGATAAACTAGAAATACGTGGAGGTATTTTTCCTGTAAGATTGTGAACTTGTAAAAGTAAAATGGTTAAATGTTGAAGCCTTCCAACCTCAAGTGGAATATATCCATGGATAATCTTAAAAGTCCAAATCAAAGCCTCAAACTTTGACAAATTTGATACACTTGAAGAAATAACACCCCCAAAACTATTACTACAGAAATTCATGTGCTGAAGAGAGCACATAAACTTCCAATCCAAGATGGAATTAAATTCCAAGGAAGTAGAAAGCAACGACACTGCACTTATTTTGGATTTCATTGTTTGGGCTTTTGTTTGTAAAGTAATTTAGTTGGAAAGTAATATTCTTTACCCTCATTCCCTTTCATCTATCGATATGTGCATGTTGCATAAATTCAATCTCACAATTATGACAATCCTTCTATTGTCCTCTTCCTCGTCATCATCCATCGTAAAAACATGCCACTTCCATTGTACAATATATATACTATTATATAAAAATATGAACAAATTAGTTATCGAAGTACGTACTTTTGTAAAGTTAATATGTTATTAATATGTTTCATTATATATATATATATATATTTGTATTTTTATGTTTATATTATTATGCACCTTCAATTATCTAATAACATTTCTCTCAAATCATAAAATTAGAAAATTACTTTTAAAAATATAGATAATAACAATTGAAAACGAAAATTCAAATACCATAGTTTATGGATATATCTATATCTTAAAAAAAAAAAAATCTCCCATTCACCTTTGATTCTAATTTCAGCCCTAGTTCATGGAGATAGCTTGAAATAAATATAATTATCTTTGGAAAATGTTTTGTCATGCCATCCATAAGATGAGTCAAAACAACTCCAGAGGGATAGATAGTAAATAGTTTAACTCAAGGAACACAAAAAAAAAAAAAAACCATAAAGCCCTTGATGAATGCTTAATTAATTTATACGCATCATATGTTTGATTTATTTCAGTTGCCGGCTCATATGCAATATAGTTTGAACTTTTTCTTTTGGCATTTTATACCAAAGATTTATTTTTTATTCATATAAGCCCAATATGACGATATATGCCATACTGCAACTCTAAACATTCTATAAAGCCCACAAACTTACACCAATAATTAAAAATTCAAAGCTGGTTCCCCTCAAACATTATTAGGCCACATCCAACCAGAAGTTGCTTCCATACCGGCTTATTCCTTTTAATTGAAATTATTATGATATGCAAGGGTGGGTGTCACAACATCATTTCCTTTGTCTTCTGCTTCTTTGATTTTTTTTTTTAATCTCTTGAAATTCTTATAATACATAATTAACGAGTGAAAACAATCAAAAAGAATAAATAGTTTTCATATATGAAAATGTGATCTCCTTTAAAATATTTGACCAATAATTTAATTATAAAATGTGATATGCTCTAAAATATTCAATCTAAAGAGTAAGTAGAGTCGTTTTTTACAAAAAGGGTAAGACTACAAACGTGATGATAGAATTGTCAACCAAATTTAAAAGTTATAAACTAAATTTTTGTATAATTGTGTGTGTGTGTATCAATAAAACAAAATAAAAATTACAATACTATGAGTGTTGATATATATGCTTAAAAGTTACATCTCAATTATGAATGTTAGATTTGATGATGGGCTTATGCTTCTGCTATCTAATGTACAATGTTATTTTTGTTTGTATTTGAGGAGATATTAGAGTGAGGAAGTTAACAAAGAGAGACATGTGCAACCTTCACAAGCCAACATTCAGTTAACACTATTTTTATTTAATTTTTAAATTAGAAAATTTTCATTTAAATCCCAATAAATTTTTATAAAATGAAAAATGAAAAATTACTGAGACACTCATATTTTTTAAATAAAATAATATTTCTTTATTAAAATTGGATTTTAATAAATATACTTGATTTTTAATTTCATTAAATCCTTTGAAATTTAATGAAATTTTCCTTACAAGAGACCTGATTGAAATTCTCCCCTTTTATAATTGAAAGCTTTGCACCAGGTTGAATTCTCAAGTTTAATCTAGACTTATATATGTTGGGATATATATTTAATAGCATTTTGACGAAACCTATTGGCATCTAAGTTCATAATTTCAAGTGGCAAAAGACAAGAAGTGAGAAAAAAGAAATGATCTATAGCGAAATATAATTTGCATAAAGTTTATATCTCGTAAATTATTGTAACCAAGATCTAATTCCTGAAGTGAAATCAAGCTTCCAATAATTCTTGGTATGTAGCCAAAAAGTTGATTTTGAGTCAAGTATATCATTTTAAGATTTGTAAGATTGGCAGTTTCATTGGGAATATATCCTGCATGATTACATTAGCCAAAAAAAAAAAAATAAAAACAGAGTTGATATGAGTGCTTGTGCATAGTTTATAGGAAATCATAGAATTAATACAATATAACTTTATGGAGATGATAATGGACAATATATAATGTATATGAAATCATATAAATTTAAAAACCATTAAAAAAATATCTCCTGCATTATGGCCCCAAGAAACACAAATGAAAAGGACAAAAACTAGTAAAAACTTGCAAAATAGTTGTTCCTGATGGTGGAAAGAAGACTAAATGATGTTTGATACACTATATTTTATTGAAAGTATGGTGACAAAGTTTCCAATATCACAACAAAATTAAAATTATATATAATTTGCAGATTCGTTTATCTTCCCCTAGTCAACATAATAGTGTGTGTGTGTGTGGTGTGTGTGTCCCTGCCTCTTTCCAACAAAATAAATGTTGAATAAGATATTGTAAATAGCTTATTCTAAGACACACTAACACCTATAAATCTTTTGAAATGATTTGGAGAAAATATGAATTTATCCCATATCACAAAAGACATACCTGTTAAGGAGTTGTGTGACGAAGATATCTGCTCAAGTGAGGATAAGCTTGAAATAGTTGGAGGTATTTTTTTGAAAGATAGTTCCCTGCTATGTGTAAAATCTTTAAATGTTGAAGCCTTCCAATCTCAAGTGGAATAGATCCATGGATGAAATTATCATTCCAATCCAAAGTCTCCAACTTTGACAAATTTGATACACTTGGAGGAATAACACCCTTAAAACTATTATCCCAAAAAATCAGGCATTGAAGAAAAAATAAACTTCCAAACCAAGCTGGAATTTTCCCATCAAATTCATTAGAGCTCAAGTTGAGAATTTTCAGCTTCTGTAACTGCAACAACCCCTTTGGTAACTCACCATGAAAGCTGTTGCTATGAAGGTCAAGTTCAACAAGGGAGGACAAATTCCCCACTTGTGGGGTTAAGGTGCCCGTGAGACTCATGTCAGCAAGATTTAATATGCTTACTCTCTCACTATTAGCATCACAAGTAACCCCAGCCCAATTACAAATGGAGGAAGTGTTGGACCAATTAGCCAAGTGATTGAATGGATGTCTCACAGAATATTTGAAAGCATGAAGTGCCAAATCATCATTTCTAGTGAAATTGGTGTGAGATAAAGTTGGGCAGATCATGGGACAGTAAAGCAGTGAGAACATGGAGAAGGAAAAATGAAACCAAAGGTTCACCACGTTGGATTGCTTCAAGGTCTCCAAAAATGAAGTGGATAGTGAAGGTCATGCTATATATATATATGTATATATTGACAAGCACTAGTCTTCGATAATAATAAAAGCGGAATAAATTGTGCATCTAATAAAAGTATTCATATTTATGGTGGGAAAAGAAGTGGAATATTCAAATTCAGTCCAAGAATTAAATGTCATCTTCTTTAATAAAAGGAGGTCCATATAATTAGAGCCTAAAAGAAGGGAGCCAATACATTTTACCCATTTAAACAAGTGATTTAAACTAAACGTGGTTAAAATAAATTCACGGTGCCCTCTTGATTATGAAAAGTCACAGCTGATTTAATATACAGCTTTATTGGCTAAAGGATGATGAGAATTCCTTAGAAACAATGGACACTGTGATCAATCAAGGACTAACCATTTAATCGACCAAAGAACCAGAAATAAAAAAATTGAGATAATGGCTTCTTCACAGAGATCACAAAATCATAAAACTGTATATCTAATATTGCTCTAAGAAATAAGCATGCCAACCATGAGCTTTATTCGCACCCACAAAAAGATTTATTCTCAAATATCTTTATTGTAAAAAACGTAACATTTTTAAAATCTTTTATTATTTACATTGACATGGAGAAACGGTTGTAATTTTGAGATTGTAATTGATATATTTTATAGATATTAAATTGATTTTATACCTATGTTTAATTGCTAGATTAAATAGGAAATTTTATTATAAAATTCACCTATATTTCACATTCTATAAATTTTCTAGAAAACGAAAGAAAAAAGTAATCAGAATTAAGAGAGAGAACATAAAGAATAAAATGAATAAGAAATTACAAAAGTACTTTTCAAGTATGACTGGAATTATTGTGCCCCTCTCTCTGCGCTAAAGATATTCAAATTGACTTGATTTAAAATGTTAGTATAGAAAGAAAAGATGAAATTCCTTTTCCAGGGCTACATCAATGAGATGGAAAATGTCTAGGAAATTTCATCAATTATAGAACCTCAGTATTATCTGATATAAAGAAAAATGACAAAATAATATATCTATGTATGCATCACCGATTAAAAATTTAATTATTTTGGTGAAAAATCAACCAATTAGGTTGAATTTATCAAATTGTTGCCAACCAAACAACAATGAAGAGCCAAGACTTCTGTTATCGTGCCGTTGAATTTTGCTCCTTCATTATATTTGTAAGAAATTTGGAGAAGGGACTTTGTAGCCTCTTTTATAAAATTGCATGATCACTCACGACTTACAGCATTTACAAAACCTCTATTTATTATTGTTGTTGTTGGTGGCGGCGGCGGCTCAAAATAAATGCATATTTTGATTACTAACGAGAGACAACAATTGTAGTAAAAGAATTGAAGAATGACATGTTGGCTTGATGATTTGTGGTTATGACATAATATTTTAGGAAAATAACATGTTGGCTTTCATTTATATCTTGATGAAATTATTTTTGAATATAGATTATTTAACCTCTAATTGAATCTTAGAAATTTTAATTTCCATGATTGATTGGAAATTGACTCATCATTATATACAACTTAAGAAATTTTTTATTTATTTTAATTTTTTTGGCCATCACTATGTTGAAATAATTGTTAATTATTATCTTATAATATTAAAAAACGTTAACTATTGAAACATATCAATAAATTTCCATTATTTATTATTATATTTGATAACAGTTATAAATTACTATTATATTTATTTAAATACGAGTAATGATATTTGACTTATTTTCACAATGTATGTGACTTCTTTTTCTCTTTGGCTTCAATAATGACATAGTCCATATTCACCTAATATCAACTATATTAATTATTATAAATAAAATAGTCATGTAGAGGTCAACAAATTAAGGTGATCCAGCTAATAAAGATTTAGTCCATTTTCTATGAGAATATAAATTCAAATGCCAGCAACGTTTGTAAGGATCAGAATTTCGTAAGTAAGCTGTAAAAAATTGTAAGTGTCGTATTTTTTGTGAAAGATCTGAGTTTCTTGATTAAGAAAATTTTGTGACTTTTTTTTAATTAGTGACTTGAAACAAGTACACATCCCAATTTATAAAATCTCAATATTATCGATCACATTAATAAAATAAATATACATAAATTATTCTCACATTATTTGTGTTATATCATTGTGCCATTTTGGCCTCTCGATGGGTAAATTAGTCATATCGCTATTAGAAGTAAAAAAAAAAAAAAAAACCTTTACGTTCACTTACATCAATTTTATTTTATTTTATTTTATTTAGATAAAAAGTTTCATTTATCTTATTTCAACCCATTTCATTACAACTCATAACTACTTCATCCTTTGTGTGTAGAATATAAGCTAAATTAACATTTTGATTTATTGGGCTAGAAACTCTAATGAGTGCAGACCATTGGGTATAGCACTACCAGGTTGAGGATTGGGTCAAGGAGATCATTGCCTTAAATGGTTTTATGAATAGAAATGCAATATTAATATATAAAATGAAAAGAAGAAAAGGGAAATTTACTTGGTAGTTGATGGACCAAAATAAACCTATGTATGTGTTAAGAATTTGCTTAGGCCTAAATTTTGTGATCTGGCCATGCAATTTAGAATATGATTTTGATATTTACCCATTAATTCCAAACCAATTATATCTTTGAGTTTAAAACCTAACCCCAAATTAATTCATTTTTCTTGGGCTTAATTATATAATTGTCACATGTTTTTAAATATTTATATATGTTAAAATACCTTACCATCAATTTTAAATTTAATTAAATTCCATATCATCACAAGGAAAGTAAGAATAAGTTAGTGCATGGAGAAGAGGCATGCAAAAGCTTCTTTTTTTTACCTATATTTCATAGTTATGTGTTTGAAGTTCGCTCCTTGTATTGTCATTTTGATAGCTGATATATGTCATTTTCATGTATACGCTACAGCACATGGCTCTTCACATCATAGTGCATGGCACAGAGGCGAGTGAACCACGACACATGTGTCTTAAGCCACAGTGCATGGGTTGTTTCCTACACAAAAACACTGTTTTGAGTTTTGAAACTCATTGTTTTAGACTCTATTTGATTTTCAAGCTTTTGCATTATTTTTAAACTCTGATTTGAGCATTTCAAATGTTTGCTTAAGATAGAAGATATTGAACTTTAGGATCCCATTGTAAATGATTTGAGAATTCTTCTCTTTTATGAAATTTTACAACTTTGGTATTTCTCTAGGGGTTAATCCCTTGATTATCATCTTTATGGAGTTAAAATGTGGTTAAGGGAGACCTTACATACTTTCTTAACTTTAATTTAATAATTTATATTATATTATGCATATCACATAATCTACATTAAACTTGATTTTATGTTATGTTAATAGTACTTCCCAAATTTATATGTAGAGGAATCTAGTCCAACTCAAATGGATGAAATCCTCGAAGAATTGGTTGAGTTTAGCCACAGGTGCAAAACAGATGATAACAACCATGCATTTTACTATATCTTCATTAATTTTGTTTTAGTATATAGGTTCTTTACACTTTTTCAAAGTAAGCATTATTTGGCTAAGTTTATGTTTTTGGTAACTTTGGCCTTCTAAAGTTGCAATAGGTTTGCACTTTTTGGCAAATCTTTTCTTGTAAATTGTAAAATAAGTTTGAAGTATTTAAACAATTTTAGAAGTTATAGCTATGTTTAAATAATGGATTCAATTGCATTTGCATTTTGGTTGAAACTGAATTGCTTTGTTGTTGGTTGATTTCTGGATGTCTATGTATATTATTTTACAAGGGGGGCTGATCAAAATGCAAACCCTCCATTGTAAAAAAAAAAAAAAACTATTTAGTGGGTTTTTTTAAATAACCACTAAATACTATCATATATTTAGCGATTATTATAAAAAAAACTGCTAAATAGTGCCTGATAGCTCCTAAATGTTTGCCCAAAATAAAGGCAAACTATATAATAGTTTTTCTTAAATAACTATTGAATATGTGAACATTATTTAGAGATTATTTATAAATAACCATTAAATAGTGTCCTTGTACATTCGTTTCCTCAAATCTTGATATAACTATTCAACGGTTTTCTGAAAATAACTGTTATATAGATCTAAACTATATAGCGGTTGAATAGTTGAGTTGGACTATATAGCACCTTATTATATAATGGTTTAAAACCACTATATAGTTGCAAAAATAATCACTTTATATAGGCTATTTTTTTAGTAGTGTGGCTAGGTATACCTATGTATATCATCTATGGGAACTTTGTAAATGCCGCCTAAGAGGGGTTGGATTGGGCTAAGTAAAAATTTGACAAATAATGCACAATTAAAAGATAAGTTAGGAATGGTATCACCGATATGTGTTAAGGGAAGTGATGAGAAGCAGTGCACAAATGCTTATCTTAGTCCAGCTCCAACCACTTAAGCTTATATCTAGTCTTCAAGTTTATACTTGAGATTTCTTCACTTACTCTACCAAGATTGAGCTGTGCTCTTCATTGACACAATACAATTTCAAACTTCTATTTAAGTCTGTAACTCTCCCCTTATAAAGGTAATTGCAAATCTCCTTAAACTCTCCAAGTTTAAGTTCCTTTATTTTGGATAAGAAAAATAGGGATAAATAGAGTAAGTTCATGAATAAATTACTACTATCAAAGACATTTTCTAAGAGTAAATTTACAATTAGTGAAGCTCATATACAATGAATATTGCAGTAGAAATTTAGTTAAAATTGAACGCCTATAGTTGAGCAAAATAACTTCTTTGCGTCCACTTCATAGATGACTTGTATTCTTAGTTGATATCAAGAATAGATCTAATTGACTCACAAAGTTAGCTATTAGACATCGCTCTTCTTCCCTTTTGCGTTTCTTTGGAAAAATTGCAATAAAACAATGCTTTATGGAAAAGTTACGTGCTTTCA